GGATGAGGATGAGGATGAGGATGAGGATGAGGATGAGGATGAGGATGGGATGGAGATGGGGTGAGGATGGGGATGGGATGGGGTTAGGGATGGGGATAGGGATGGGCATGGAGTGAGGATGGAGCTGCTCATCCCGACCCTGATGCTGCTCTGTACTGTGGGGTGGGAGATTTATGGCCATAGGAAACATCTTGCCAGGAGCCCGCTGCCCTCCCACAGCCCACATTGACCTCTCCTGTCACACAGAGATTTAAGCCCAGGATAATTACATCCATTAACCTAAAGGGAGCCACTGGGCTGGGAGTGCCCGTGGCTGCCCAAGGAGCACAGTGGTACAGACCCCAATGGGATGGGGAACCCCAGTGGGGATAGGGAATGCTGGTAACCCCAGTGGGGAAAGGCAGAAATCCCAATGAGACTGGTTGCCCCAATGGGATGAAGAATTACAGGAATCCCAATGGGGAAGGGGAGTGCTGGGAAACCCAGTGGGGACAGGGCAAAACAGGAATCCCAGCGGGGGTGGGGAACACCAATGGGGATAGGGAAAGGCAGGAATCCCCAAAGGGGTGGGGAACCTCGGTGAGGATGGGGAAGGCTGGAAACGCCAATGGAGATGGGAAACCACAACGGGGATGGGCAAACCTCCATGGTTCTATGACTCTGTGATTCCAAGGTCTCACCCAACCAGGCTGGTTCCTTGGCTGTGTCCCTGTCCCCGTCCCCAGTGCCAACACCACAGCCAATGGGTGCTGGGAAGAAGTGGCAAAACCCAACCAACACTTTTTGCATCAACATTTCCTTTCGCACGGGGGTTTCAAACCGGGTGGAAAAGGCTCTGTCTTTGGCACGAGTCATGTTTTCCATCCTGAAAACTGTCAGCAAAGCAGCGCTGAGGGGTGAGGCCTTCTGACGAGGAGGGGAGCGCCTCAGGAAGCGTTTTGATGAGGAGCAGCCAACGCTGCTGCAGACAGAGCTGCACCGCGGCCAGGGAGCAGCGCCAGATGTGCGGCAGCTGCAGCCCAGATGCCCCCCACCCCACTGCTGCTCCTCCGGGAACCGGGGGGGGGGGAAAGGCCTTACAACAAACGGGTGTGGGCAGATCCGCCGTTGTGCAAATGCACGCGTGTGCAAATGTTGCCATGTGTAAACCTAGGTGTAAATACACTCGTCTCCACGCACCTCCAGGGCACCCACCTGCACTTTTGCAACACTACACGAGGAAAAGCCGCAGGGCCCGTGTTCAGGGGAGGAAGGGTGTGCCAAGGAGAGAGCAATTAGGGGATGGCTTCAGGATATGGGAAAGTGCTCCCACTGCAAGCAGGCTCAGCAAGAATGAGAGTGATGAAAAATAAGGCTGTGCCTGGAGTGCTGTTTTGGGACGGGGAATGCAAACAGTGGTTCAGTGGGGATGGGGATGGGGA